TCGGAGTAATCCAAGGCTTCGGTGCCCGTCGTGTACTATGATAATGCGGTCTCTGGTTAGTTAGGCGGGGCTTGGTACAAAACCTTCGTGCAGTGTTTAGCAGACTCATCCTCCAGTGCTGCCACAGATCCTCAGTGCTCGTGGGTTCGAGTGGTCCAGGAGGCAGAAGATTAGTGTCTCCAAGGGCAGAATTAAGCTCTGTAACTCTGGCAGAGTCCCAGCACCAAGACCAGCTCCTGGGCTGGACTGCAGCTACGATCGGGGTCGATCGAGTTGGCAGTTCAAGGATGCCTAGGATGGCTAAGTAGTCGGAGTTGCACAGCGATGGAAGAGGGTGCACTGATGTGGGATGTAGGGTATCTGACGCGGCAACAATATCAATGCAGGAATTAAGTATTCCGCCAGCAACGTGAGTTGGAAAGTTAACGTGTTGGGTTAGACCGTACGTAAGGAGTAGTGCTTGTAGTGCTCGCCCAGCGCTATCGATGGGGTCGGTAGAAAGCCAACTTTTGTTCTTCGCGTTGAAGTCTCCTACTAGCCCCATGGGCTTGGTTGAAGCACGGCGGAGACAGGACTCAAGGCTGGCACAGTAATAGTGTATATCGCTACTGGTTGGGCGATAGGAGACACCGAATACGAAGGATTGGCAGTTTGGCGAAGTCAGTTCGATCCACACTGATTCGTATCCAGATACATCGTACATACTCAAGTGCGAGTGAGTGGCGGAACTGTGAATGTAGACCAGGCAACCGCCTCCTCTGCCCTGCTGTCGATCGCAGAGATAAAGTGAGTAAGAAGGCAGGTCATATAGGCTGTCGCCCTCGAGAGAAGAGCACCATGTTTCTGTAATGGCAATGACAGTGGGGAGTGGATGGCATGTTTGGATAAGGGAGGGAAGCTCATCGAACTTATTTTAGCAAGCTTCGGGCATTTAACGATAAAAACGAGAAAACCATGATAATGAGGGTATAAGAGGACAAGGATGAGGAGAAGAAAGCAGGAAGAACGTGAATGTTTACAAGAATATTTATGTACACGAGTATATTGTGTGGAGAATAACATTACTGTATATCCTGTGACGCTGTGAGCCCTGTGCTGGGGTATGGGGTTGGCTGTGAGCCCCGGTCCTGGGGTATGGGCTTGGCTGTGAGCCCTGTGCTGGGGTATGGGGTTGGCTGTGAGCCCTGTGCTGGGGCATGGGGTTGGCTGTGGGCCCTGTGCTGGGGTATGGGGTTGGCTGTGAGCCCTGTGCAGGGGTATGGGGTTGGCTGTGGGCAGGGTCGATGTTGTTGCTCTCTTTTTGGTTTTTGGAATTTTTGAAATCAGGTGAGGATTCCGCACTGGGACTGGATCTTCTGCGTTGTTCGGAGGTAATCCAGGGGTGTGATGGCTTATTAGACATCGCTGTGTTAGTCACCAGTGAGGAGAGGAGGTATTTAGCACGCGCCGAATCTGGGTGATTGCATGTTTCGGTAGGAGTAGTTGTGTCGGTGTGCGGTGAGTTGGATGTTGTCGTACCTGTGCCTGTGCTGCCTGGCGGCGTTCCGGGGTGCACTGTCGTGCTGGTTGCCGACATCGGTGATGTAAGGTCGAGATCGCTGACTGGGTCGCTTGGGTGTGAGCTGGGCTGCAGGTCTGCTTGCGGCGTGGTGTCCGCGCCGTCAGAAGCCGTTTTGGATACGGCGCTTGCGTGGTTCAAACTTTGGGCCGCTTTCGGCGCTGAGTCGGTACGGTGAGCATGAGAGCTAGCTCCCCCGTCCTGCTCTGTGCTGCTGCTTTCTGTGGGGTGCGTGGACATGGTGGAAGTGTGTACACTGCGACGGTTTTGGCAGGTACACGCGATGTGACCTGTCTGGCCGCATAGCCTGCACGTGCCTGCCTGGCCATCGTACAGAATGCCAAGCTCGTACGAACATTCCGTCGTACGCAGGTATGACGGGATCGAGCTGCCTGGTTTGAATTCGAACGTGGCGAAGCGTACTCCAGTTGCTGTGTGGGTATTGTTTGGAAGTTTGATTTTTCCGTGTCGGATCTCACCGATTAGCTTTCCATACGGTGTGAGAGCTGCTTTGAGCACGCCGTCTGAGATCCAGATTGGGGCATCATGGATGTGCAGTTGTGTTGTTGGTGCGGAAACGAAGTGTGGTGAAATTCGTTCACCCTTGCAATCGAAACCATTGAGCACCAACAATTTGGCTTTTTCATATGACTCAACGGTAAGTCTACATTGACCCCTGCTTGTTGTCTGCATCGAAATGATGCCGGTGATACAGTTGTGAACCCTCTGGTTCTCTAAAGTGTCAGGAACGAACGACCCCACACGGCACGAAGACAACTATTTATTCTATACAGTATATTTCACTTCCATCGACTAACAACAATGAACAATGAATGACTGAATGAACAACTGAATAACTAACACTAAAACCACCAGGTAGTTATAGCGTGAGAATGACAGCGTATATGAGAAAAGCATACACATACATTATACAACTACAGCGCACACAGCAAATCGCACACAGCGCATTTAGCGTATACTACGTCGTAATCATCAGCGGTACGGCGGAGTCGGGATACAACTGCATTGAAACGAACATAATGTCACAAGGGAGAAGGCCTTTTACTCTCGAAAACTTGTGGTTTCACAACATTCTCCCCACCAAAGGGCTTCTCACCGCCGAACAACAACTCACAAATCATACGGTTTGGGGCTTACTACGCGTCATCTGCTGCTGCGGTGGTGGCCATGGTAGAATATCACTAATGCCCACCACTTCAGACAACTCGATTTCGTGAAGCTTGCCGCCGTGGGCTGTCGCACACGACACTGTCACGGATCCACTTCGACATGGGGCAGACGATGGACCAGACAACACACAACGGATAAGCTTGCAGATCACTGGGCCACTGACTCGTGGGGCGGACGCTGGACCAGATAACATATATCTAATCTCCATGTTCCACACAGTCTCGCCGCTCACTTTTTCCGTGCTAACTTCTTCCGTGCTAACCAGTATCGCCTTTCTCAATTCCTTAGCTTCTACTCCTTGCGCTTCTACGTCTTGCACCTCTACGTCTTGCGCCTCTACGTCTTGCGCCTCTACGTCTTGCGCCTCTACGTCTTGCGCCTCTACGGCTTGCGCCTCTACATCTTGCGCCTCTACGTCTTGCGCCTCTACGTCTTGCGCCTCTACGTCTTGCGCCTCTACGTCTTGCGCCTCTACGTCTTGCGCCTCTACGTCTTGCGCCTCTACGTCTTGCGCCTCTACGTCGTTCGGCCGAGACTCCAGCTGCTTCTGAGCGTCTCCAAACGATGTCGCCATGCACTGTACCAACGCAGTGGGCCTTGGATCTGATCCTCCCACTGGCTTCAAATACTCCTCTGACCGCTGCTTGTCTGTAAGCAAAGTCTTCCACGCCTCGTCCGGCGTCCTTTCGCGTGAGGCAAGCAAATCTCGCTTTGCTCCCTCATATTTACTGCTGGCGATGCGCTCGTTAATCTTCTTGAGCTTTTCGTTAAACGTTGTGCGGAGCGCACCCTCTTGCCGTCTAGCACTGCGCTCTCCAAACTCCTCGCTCTGTCGGAGCCTCTTCTTCACGTATTCTCTCAACCTATCGCCTTCAAATTCATACCGAATTCCGTTAGTGATAAAGCTGGCTTCAATGATCCATAGTTCCTGTGCCATGCTCGCTTCGTATCCTGGCGTGGTCGCCAAATGTTGTGAACCCTCTCGTTCTCTAAAGTGTCAGGAACGAGCGACCCCACACGGCACGAAGACAACTATTTATTCTATACAGTATATTTCACTTCCATCGACTAACAACAATGAACAATGAATGACTGAATGAACAACTGAATAACTAACACTAAAACCACCAGGTAGTTATAGCGTGAAAATGACAGCGTATATGAGAAAAGCATACACATACAACATACAACTACAGCGCACACAGCAAACCACACATAGCGCATGTAGCGTATACTACGTCGTAATCATCAGCGGTACGGCGGAGTCGGGATACAACTGCATTGAAACGAACACAATGTCACAAGCGAGAAGGCCTTTCACTCTCGAGAACTTGTGGTTTCATAACAGATACCTCGCTCTCCTAGGAGTTTTATGTAGGCCTCCACGCTTACCTGGGCTTGCGAGGGGAATACAACAGTGTTCTTCTTCAGTGTCGAAGACGAGAGATGTCGCCAGGGCTCCGTATCAGCTCCGTTTCCGGCCCTGACGCCTGGCAGATCTAGTGAATCAGCACTCTGTGCCATATCCGCCGAAGCCGACTGCCGCAGCTGGTGGAACTCAGCCTCACTTGTTGTGCCACGTTGTCTGGCAAAATCCTTCTTGGCTGTCATAGCATCTTGCCGAACACGGTCCGGTGCTTGCTGGGTCCATGATGCGTCAGGCGAAATTACTGGTCAGTCGGCGACACGCATTTTTCACAAAAAAAAGAGTATGCGTGTACTCTAGTCTCATCCTGAGCACGTTTTTTTTCTTCGTTTTTCAGCTCCAGCTGTATTTTTCATTGCAAAGCCGTCCTCGATTGTGTTCGTTGTTCAAACGAAGTGGACATTCAATCATGAAGGCAGAGGACATAGGAGCCTGATTTGAGTTTCTCGTGGCATAGGATGGGCAAACAGAGACACTTTGGGATTTTCTGAATATAAAATACCGTACGCACGGTGCTGAGATCAATTTGTGCGATATCAAATTGTTTGTGATCTACCACATCGAGCAGAACGGGATCCAAACACAAGCTTACCGACGGTTAGGCTGCCGACCTGACTGGACAAAATGATCCCTGGCTTCACCAGACGCCCGAAGTCGGACACCATGCCCTTTGCCCATCTCCAAAAAGAACTCCATCTTCGTCGTGAAAAGGCTTGAAATACTCAATATTCAACCGTTAATGGACTGTATAGCATAACGTGTAGTTCCTGGGTCCTTTATTTTTTGTATAAAATACCGCTTTATTCTGTGCCTTATTGCATCTAGTTCTTTGAACTCTTACGGTTTGACGGATCTCAGTGGCTCAGCATTTCAGAATAACAAGATCGTTACGGATATGTAAGTCAATTTTCAAAACGAATCTCACTCTAAATGGCAATCAAGAATCCTCACTATGCGGTAATGATGCTTAAGGCTGCGTTTACACGATTGAAAACGATTTGCGTTTACACGACAACGAAATACGACCCAACCGGAATGATATCGTTGCGTTTACTACTATCGTTTACACGGCAACGACCGAAAACGATACCTAAACGGAACGAAATGGAAAAGCACTTCAAAGTGTTTTGAAAAGTTTTCAATACGTTTTCATTCTCGTGTAAACGGTGAAAACAGTGAAAACGATTGGAAACGGAGCGCGGTTATGGAAACCATTCCGTGCCAGAGTATAACTAGCGGGAAATATCCATTCCTTGCGACCACCAGCACGTACCAACTCCAACTCACGTGTTACTTCCCGCCCTTGCGCCAAACCAGCACGTGCTAACTCCAGACTGATCGCCCGTTTTCCGTTTTCGTGTAAAACGGTTCAAAACGATTTTCCGTTCTCGTGTAAAAGGTTTGAAAACGAGTCGAGGCCAGCCCGTTTTCGTTACGTTTCGTTTTGTTTCATTTTGTCTTTGTGTAAACGCAGCCTTATTTCCGTAGCTATGAAAAAGATGGGGTGCATGGACCGCACAGCATCATCAAAGACAGCTCGTCACCTTATTCAAATAGGGCTTTCAACTGCAAATTCATAACGTGGTTGTTGTCAAAACTTTATTCTCACGGTACCCAGTGACCAATAAGCGATAATGGTGTGAGAGAGGAGGAAGAATGACGAAGAATTGGGTGAGCAGGGATTAGTGACTACATGTATGGGCAGGGTGGTCGCTACACGAGCATACAGAGTTCTGGAACAGCAGGGATATCTGGGATTTGAAGAGAGTGCCAGAAGGGATTTCGCGAAGCTGGGTGGACAAGCAATTTTAAAAGTAATGAAGGACATTGTACAGGCAGAATGGAGACAGAGATCAGTGTTCCGGTCTGGAGTTCGACCTAGGATGTGGAAGACGGCCAACGTGGTTTAAATCCACAAGCAATCTTCCCGCTCAAACCTTAAGAATTACAGGCCCGTACCCTTGCTGTCAAGAGTACATAACCCCCAAGAGTGTGCAATTCCAGCTATGGGGTCTGCGACGGCAGAACTTCACATCACGTGATGAACCCGTACACATTATTTGCACTCTGTGCATGATAGTTACAGGGTTGTACGCAGCCCAGCTTTGCGTACAACTCTCTTGTCGTCACTTTGCACTGTTTGCCAGCATAACCTTTTGAACCATGTCACGTAATGTGAAGTTCTGCCGTCGCAGCACAGCATAGAGGTTGTGCAGGCAGTTGCACACTCTTGGGGGTTATGTACTCTTGTTGCTGTGCATAATCTCGAAAGTCATGGAAACTCTTTTTGTTATGAAACCACAACTTCTCAAGTGTGACAGGGATTCTCGCTTGTGGCATTGTGTTCGTTTCAATGCAGTTGTATCTTGACTCCGCCGTACCGCTGATGTGTACGACGTGGTATACGCTACATGCGCTATGTGTGATTTGTTGTGGGCGCTATAGTGTATGTTGTATGTGTTTGCTGTCATTTTCACGCTATAACTACCTGGTGGTTTTAGCGTTAGTTGCTGTTGATCGAAGTGAAATATACTGCCAAGAGTTAATAGTTGTCCTCGTGCAATGTGGTCGTTCGATCCTGACAATTTAGAGAATCACAGAGGGTTCACAACATTTGGAGACCACTCCAGGATACGAAGCGAGCATGGAACAGGAACTAGGTTATTTGGAAGCAAACTTTTTCGCCAACGGAATTCGGTATGTATTTGAAGGCGATAGGTTGATGGAATGGGTGACGCTGCGCGTGTGAGGTTGATGGGAGGTACAGCGGAGGCTCCCTGTCACAGCGGTGGGCGTGGGCCTTTAATGAAAGTATCGACATACGACGGAAGGCAGCTACTGGAGCGTTATCTCCACCTGTTCGAGGACATCTGTGTCAAGAATGAGTTTGACAAAAATGAATGGCTGCTGCGATTGCATATCGCTCTGTCGGTTAGCACTGTGAAAAGGAACTGTATTGGCTGCAGCAGGTTGGGCATTGACAGACTGCACCAGTGGGGCCAAACAAGGAAAGTGATTTTTCAACCGACCATATCCAAGGCCATGACAGCCACCCTCAGAGGCCATACATGGAAAGTGATTTTTGACCCGACCAAATCCCAGGCCATGACAGTCACCCTCAGACGCGCCGGCTTAGATCTCCCCGCACTCCTGTTTGGTGGCACACTGCTACCCGAGACAACCAGCGTCACCCTCCTTGGTGTGAAGATGGACACCAAGTTGACCTTTAGCGATCACCTGATCCCCCAGATAGGCTATGCCTTTGGGAGATCATTTAAGGTGGCAGACCACCCAAAAATTCGGTGAAAAATCGAATTTGTAAATTCATATCTAGTGCTACGTCAGTTGAAAGAGCATGAATAGCTGCAAAATCTCTGAAAATTTTGTCTCGATCTGACCAGCCGTTGAAAAGTTATGGCCGAAAAAATGTGCCCTTGCAAGGGAAAAGATTTTTTTGCACACTGTCATTTTTTGGCAGCACTGTATTTGAATATGAGCAGACCGTGCGAAACTTGTCCTATCATGGAAACACGCGAAAGTGTGCAGAATTTTGCTCCAAGTCCAAATATCACGTTTTTTCAGCCACGTATTGGGCTGCACGTGCAGCAGGGCCTTTGCCAGCACCTTAGTGACGTTGCAGATATGTGGCTTGAATATTGTGGTTGACAATGATTTAGTGACTTTGGCAAGTTTGAGTCATGTCAAGAAGTCAGGTAGGATTCAGTACTAGGCAGTAGTGGAACGCGAGTGGTAGTCTTTGCCGATTTTTGAGGGTATCCTGGATTTGGTGTGCAGCGCTGTGGAAATGGCTTGCTGTGGACGTCCCAGCACTGGATGTTGTATCAAAGGTACGACCTCGTAGCACGTGGTAAACCTAAAAAAATCTAAAATTGACTTGGGTCTGTGGGAGTCTGTGAGAGAACGCAAACTCGTTCCGTTGTGACAGATTCCAGGGCCACTTTGAGGGGCCCTACCCCACCACCCATGGCTGCTTGTGGACTTGGTTTAGGCTTGGATCCCGCGCACGGACAGAATGGGCATGAAAATGTGAACAAATTGTAAATGCATTCTTTTGGCTCCTGGGTGTCGCTCACACCGAGGCACTATGCTGGAATTTTGAGTTTTTCCGGCCTGGAAAGCCTGTCAGCGAGGCTCAAGAACTTCTAAATCAGAGAGCCAGCATATTGGAAGAAGTGTGTGGTCAAATTTTCACTCAAATCCATTGAGAGACACCAAAGGTACGGTCAATTGAATGCCATATGGAATTTATGGGTAGGCTGACCCCTTAAATAATAACATTTACAAACTACCTACGCTCCGCAGCCACCCGTGCACGCCAACGGCTTGGGGTCCTAAACAGAGCCGCCCACATCCTAACCTGCGCCGGCAGGTGGACTGTATTTAAGGCGTTCGTACAACCAGTCATGGAGTATGCGCCTCTTGTGTGGATGGGAGCTGTGCAGAGTCACCTCCAGCGTCTGAACAATGTTCAGCGCTGCGCACTGGATACTTTCGGTCCTGGTGGACACCTAACCAGCCTGGCCATCTGCTGTACTGTTGCCTCGCTTGCCTACCCGTACCAGCTGCACTGCTTTCCTGGCCCTCCGCATCTACTCTCTGTTCGCCACAATGCAATATCCCCTTGACCAGCTCCAGAACTCGCAGCGAGCACGGTAGTACCATTGGCCATGAGCACCAGCTAGGCATTTCCCAAATCGACCCGATTTTTCGCCTAATCGGCTTTCTACCGGCTGAGAGAATGTCCAAATTCGGCCATATTATGAGCCCCAAAGTCAGAATTCGGCTCAAAGCACTACTTGAAATCACCTATCACAGCATAGATGTAAAAATATTGTAATCTGCAATGGACTGTCATTAAAACACAAACAGATAAAATAATAAGGCACCCATTTTGATAGTCCAGGGAATGGCCCACGCCTGGTAAAGAAAAAAAAAAAAAAAAATTTCACGGTTCGCGTGAGACTCGGCCAAAGGCCCAGTTTTCCGCATCCGCAGGAACGCCACCACCCTCTTGGATCAAGGCGCAGATGCAGCTCCTAAACGGTGGGAGGTGAGTAGATCAGACCCACCACAAAGTGGTCAAAGACCGAAATCCCATTCACTGCATCCATGTTTCCCTCGTGCCAGGCCACGAGTTCCCAATTAACTGTGGGTCGCAGCACGGCTGGAAAAAATCCTTCCGCTTCCAAGCAGGACTTGAACCTGGTACCCTCTGTTTCTCAATCATGGTCTTACACCATCCCACTATGCCTGCCTGCCACAGGCAGAAAAGGAAAAGACGGATATTTGACAGGAAGTGCAAGTCCAATGGGGATACAGTGCAAGTAGTTAGTTCTCACAACGCCAAGCCACACTGCGCAACAGCCAAAGCTGCTGACCGGTTCTGATCAACGGCAGAGGAAGAGGCTGGACGTCGATGACCACGAATGGCAGCGGCAGCTGCTCGGACGAGGGCAAAGCCCAACCTCACTCGAAGAAAGGCAATCACCGACGAGAAAGACTCTCCTGTCTTCTCCAATACCATGAACGCAACCCTGCGGTAGAGAGCCCTCGCTGCTTTGCTTTGCCCGCCAGTGCAACTGAGGACGATGGGGACAAATGACGCATGATCGATGTGCAAAACTCGTGCTTCGTAGCTGCGACACTTCTCCTTCTCGTGTCTGGCATAGACGGGCACCAGGGAGGCGGGGTTTCGGTTTGAACGAGCATAAGGGTTATACACCCGAGCATCGAAGAATGTTTGCTCAAACCTACCAGACTCCAATGGCAGCCACATCCAGCCGTGCACCTCCATAGATGTATATTTACTTTGCACGCTGTGGAGGCACTAACACATCCATTCCCGGCGAATTCAGCGTTCAACATTTTCTTCAGACTTCGTAGCTCAAACTTGGTGTGAATCTACACAGGCGGGTGGGTAAAAGCTCTCACTGTAACCCACACACTCCACCTACAAACTAGTACGACAATATAGAGTAATAAGAAATTCTTCCAGGAAGTGATATACATTTGAAAACACCGCCATTCCGGCAACAGGCTCTCAGCTGTACCAAATAAATAACTTGCCAATATTTCGCCCATTGGGCATCATCAGGGCAGTTATTTATTTGGTGCAGCTGAGAGCCTGTTGCCGGAATGGGGGTGTTTTCAAGTGCAAGGAATACGCTGCAATGGAGTTTGGGAATTCTGAAGAAAAGTGATATACATCCTATCAAAATTCTACTTTGTTGTCCCAGAGATTTGTACCGTAATCAACTTGTTCACCTACCTGCTGAGCTGTTCAACACCACAACCAAATTACAGACCCTGTAAGTCATGTTGGGCATGTACCGTAAAAAGGCATTTTTGTCGTAGTTCTGTTCTTTTGAGATGTGGCAAATGGGATTTCGGGATTTGGCATCTCGTTGATTGATCTAATTTATCCTGACCACCCTTTATGACCCGAATCTGACGCCGATCGTGAAAGACTTTTCCAGGTGGAACTCCGTGTTGGTAGTACTTGACAAAGTATGCTTCTGGTAGCTGCAGGGGCCATAACTCCTTAAACTCTTCCCATCACTATTTTTAAATACCTTTGCAACATTTGAATGAAATCTTTGCGGCAATTATGTTTGACTATAATGCTTTTTGTCCACCACACACGTCAGCCAATATTGGATTCAGTAAACCGGGCTCCTAGTTCCTTCACATTGATTCAATATCGATTATCTAATGTTTAGTGTATGAACCACATAGCTGGCTGTACTTCTTTAAGAAATGAAGAAAATCTATCTGGCCATTTCGGGAAAAACCCGACGAAGTACAGATATTTGCTTTCGGAGCCAAATGAGATTGTTAGTATGGGCAGCCAAGAACCCTGAAATGAAAGAAAGGAGTCATTCTATCCAACAAAAATATGCTTTCCTACCCTCTTGGACATGTCCGAACCTGAGCCTTTCAAGTTGGAAGTTTGTTGGCTTGCGCCTTGGAGAATTGTTCGAGCTAGGTGTCAGATTGCTGAATGTCTCCGTACTCCTTGTAAGTTTTGTGCCATTTTGTCGCACTCGCTGCCTGCATATGATCTGGTCATGTTGGTGAACTGTTTGTCATAACTCGTAACATGTTGTGCTCTCCACTTTTACCATAATTATTAAATTGCCTCCTTAGCCGAGTAAAACTATTTAAAATCATAAATTATTGTTTTATAACCGCAACCAGTAATACATGCTGGATCGACATTTGTGTACAATTTAGTCATGTGATGTAAAACTGTGGAGACAATGTGCAATAAAACGATGAAAAATGTGATTCCTGATGAGTGTTGTACGAATACTTGTTTCAATCCAAATTTCTTCACATTTTTCATCGTTTTAATGCACATTTTCTCCACAGTTTTACATGACATGAATAAAGTGTACACAAATGTCGATCCAGCTAGTATTAGGCCATCATTTTTTTATATCTATGTTTCCCGTCAGTTCAACTGCCAGAATAATATGCCAGAGGTGGAAAAAAATAAAAAAAGTTGCAAAATAATAAAAAAGGCTGATCAAAGCAAACAGAATAAGTATGGATATCGAATGTGATACGTAGTTATTGCATGTTGATATTGTGATAGATGGTGTGATTCTATTGCTACAGTTTAAATACTGAGGGAGTTGATAATCATAATGATATTATGGTATTCGGGTAATAATATAAGATAGTATTTGGATGTTTGATGATATTACATTTCCAGTTGATATTGATAGGGTCAGTGAGTGTCAACCCAAGTAAAACGGAACGTACTCAGGTGCTCAGCAGCAACGAAAGAATTGGTGGGGTGTGGAGAATGGTCCGAAAAAAAACTTTGATCTCTTCTTGGCGACGAGGTTGACGTAGCACGAAGGAAGCAGCTTGCTTCAGCGGCCTTCACTTCGATGTTTAACCTCTGGAAACGGAGATCTGCTTTGAGTGAGCGTCTGCGCCTGTGACTGTAGTCGGCGTTCGTCCTACCCGTCCTCGCATACTACTGTGGCACTTGGGGCCTCACGCAATCTGCTTTCCAGAAGTTGGATGACTTCCACCGACGTCAGTTGCGGTCTCTCCTTGGAATCAAATGGCCAAAGCGCATCTCCAATGAAGCACTGTACAAGAGGTGCCAAATGGCGGAGATCAGCATCTTCGTACGCCGTGCCAGGTGGCGTCTATTTGGTTACATCTTGCGGCTGCCACCATCAACCCCTGCAGTATCAGCAATAAAAATCTTCTTCGCAAACAACAGCACCAGATGGCTTGGCCGGCCACGCGTCACTCTTCCCAGCGTGCCGCATCAAGATCTGCAGACAGCCGGGCAGGGTAGACTCCTGACCCTGGAAGATCTCCATTCGCTCCGCGCAACAGCTGCCTGTCGTAAGAGCTGGAATGCTCTGCGTGTGGCAATATGTTCATCCAACTAGTTACAAATCAATGTACTTGCAATCCTATATTAGCCCGACAGTGCAACATCAAATCAACCGGATGTATCTCCTTAATTGGTTCATCTCCCTATGTTTCTCTCTCTCTCTCCCTCTCATTCTCTCTTTCTCTATCATTCTTTCTCTCTCTCTCTCTCTCTCTCTCTCATCTACACCGGTGGGTGAGACGCACATCTCACTGTTACCCGGACCCGTGACGTACAATGTACATCTTATCCAAATTCTACTTTGTTCTCCCAGAAATTTGAGGGAAAATCAACTGGTTGACCTACCTGACGGGCTGTTCAAAGCCACAACTGAATTAGAAACCCTGTAAGTCATTGTGGGCATGTATCGGAAAAGAGTTTTTTTGCGTAGTTCTGTCCAGGTGCCTTTGAGGCATCCAGACGAGGTAGAAGCCGGTGGTCTACATTTGGACGATAGTGAACTGTCATCAGTGCAGGTAAGCAAGTGAACGCTGTGTACAGTAGGTCCATCATACACTGCATTTCTTGGAAGAAAGACATGCTCCCTTAATGATTATGAACATGGTAGTAGATGAGCGGGGAAGGAGTGAAAAATCAAACTTAGGTCATAGATACAGTATGACAGAGAGAAAAAAAGAGGAAAGGGAGAAAACGAGGGAGAGAGAGAGAGAGAGAGAGAGAGAGAGAGAGAGAGAGAGATAGAGAGATAGAGAGAGAGAGAGAGAGAGAGAGAGAGAGAGAGAGAGAGAGAGAGAGAGAGAGAGAGAGAGAGAGAGAGAGAGAGAGAGAGAGAGGTGGAGTGAGAGAGAGACAGAATGAGAGAGAGAATGAGAGAGAGATAGAGAGAGAGAGAGAATTAGAGAGAAAGATAGAGAGAAGGAGAAAGAGAGAGATTGAGAGAGAGAGAGTGAGAGAGTGAGAGAGTCAGAGAGTGAGAGAGAGGGGGGGAGGGGAGAGAGAGAGAGAGTGAGAGAGAAAAGAGAGAGAGAGAGAGAGAGGGAGGGGGAGAGAGGAGAGACCGTGAGAGGGGGGGGGGGGGGTGGAGGGGAGGGAGAGAGAGAGATATCGAGACAGAGGTCGATCAGTATGTGAGAGTAGCTGACCGAGTTACTGCTTCGCTGCAATCACCTCTAGAGGTAGTGCACGTGTGAGAGCCTGGAAGGTCCGTTTTCCACCCTCAGTTCTGACGCGGACGGGAAGAGCATTCCACTGGACACTTGCCACGAACCGGGTGGAACGTCGCCCGAAGGGACCGCGGAGAAAATGCACGAATAGCAGATTGGTCAGCTGCCCTCAAGTTGCCCGGATGTTGCTGGGGACGCCAACTGGAGCAGTGCCCTGAAGCAGGGGGCTAGCTTTGTGGCGGAGGCACCGATGAACTAGGACCAGAAACTTTTGATTTACCAGTTGCAGTAGGCTGGGGACACCAGCAAGGATAGAAGAGGAGCTGTGGGCACGAGATAACGCTGTTGGAGGGTTGACCGTAGATCCGTCTTGGAGAGTTTGGAGAGCAGGTGTGCACTAAGTCCTGGAAAGAAACGATTTGAACCAAAACACAGCTGGGAAAGGATCATGCTCAGAAACCATGTTCGCCGGGGAAGCAAACTCAGTCCTCGTCCAAGCCTCCAGAGCTGACCAATTGTTCGCGCTGTCTTGCGACCAATATACTCCACATGTGGAGCCCAGGATTAATCCTTATCCAGGACTAAAGCAAGGTACTTGGCTGTAGGGGTCACACAGAATTTCTCGCCATTGCAGAAGACCTCCGGTTGTATTGCAGCTGCGCCTCGTGGCCGAATGAAGAGCAACTGTGTCTTGGGAGTGTTGAGGAGCAGGCCATTGTCCTCCAGCCAGGTAGCAAGGTTTGTCATGGCAGGGTCAGAATTGGAGCAGTCCATGACAATATCATCTGCAAGTTCTTGGTGCTGTACAAGAAATAGTAAATTGTTCTCTTCCGGGCCCCCGCCACACAGCAACACACCGTTCAGTTAGCTTCAATACTAGTATTCACTTCTCAATAATAAACGGAGAGGGCGCAGGAGGAGAAAAACGAAAACAAGACCCGAGAAAAAGACAACGGAAAAACACCATACCATACTCGCGCGTACACTTAGACCATATATGACATCAGACACTGAACTCTACCGGACAAGAACCAAATACAACAACATGCGTAAATCTTAGTCGAACAGAAATCCGCAACATACCGACGGCGGCAGTATGGTTTGGAGTTCACTAGTGTAGAGCACAAAAAGCAGTGGCCCAAGGATGCTACCTTGGGGAACACCATGGGAGCAACTGACGGATTCACTAACAGTGTCCAGAACTTTGACACTCTGGAAACACCCTGAGATGTAGTCAGTGAACCATTCCAGGCAGTTCCAGCTATACCAAGAGAAAACAAAACTGTAACTAGACGTTCATGCTTAACACGGTCGAAAGCTTTTGACATATCAACGAGCCCAGTGAACTCTCGTTTGAATCTAGCGGTGGACCATAGATTAACAGCTAACACAAGTGCATCCTCAGTCGAATGTTGCTTGCTATAAGCAATTTGTCGGGCAATAGCTGGTGTGACTCCAGATTGGCAGTGAGCGGTCTCTTAACCATTGTCTCCAGAATACGGGAGATAATGGGGAGGAGAGACACTGGACAATAGTTCTGGGGCAGGGTTGGGTCGCCACATAAGGGACTGACATGTGACACTTTGAAGGTTGGCGGAACCTGTCCAGTTCTAAGAGACATATTGATAATGCTGGTGAGATTCGGTGCAAGAACAGAGGCATGTTACTTGAGCGGGATTATTTTTTCTAATTTAGGATTAGATTCTCGCGTTTACAATCCGTCTTCACGAGTCGGCTGCTTTCCAGTTTCTAACAGTTTTCTAATGTTTTATACTGGCGACGGTGTGTTGCAAACTTTTCCTTGAGAACAATTCTCAGCCTAACTGACTTTTACCCGAATGCAACTGAAAGAAACGGCTTCATGAAGTGACTTCTGACGACAGCTGCCGCTTGACCGTCGCTGCCAGCAAACCGTCCAGTCTCGTCCGCCACAGCCGGTTTCTGGGCTTTCCGTTGTCTCATGAGGTGCACAGCTTCAAACATGCATGCCCCGTCCTTCAGCCTCTCTATCTCTGCTGCTTTGGCCTCCAGAAGCGCCTCAGCATTGACTCGACACTTGTCTCTGATGGTGTGTTGAAGATCATTTCGCAGTCTTTTCAGATTGGCCTTGACTGCTGGGTTGGTGGAGTTGTTGATACTCAGACGAATATTCTTTTGCTTGAGTGATAGCTCTTGTATCGCAAGATCTGGTTCCTGGTGTCTGCTACGGTTGACGTATCCCAAAACGTCCTTGGCCACCCTGCTTATTATTATAGCTGATTATATAGAGTTCTTGAGGTTTGATCACGAAGATAGTATCCGGACACTACGTTGAACGGAAATCATACATTTGCTATGAGTCGCGACACCACATTCTCCTTTCACTCGTAAATGTATTTATCACAGTAGTCAAAGAATGACCAACCTGGCTGAGAAAGATCCAGCAGGTTGGCCCAGCAGCAGCCATTTCCGGGGTAATGGACTGAAATGTAGAGTTTGCAGTATGAGCATGGCAAGCAGATGCTCTTTCATATTTCCGTAAACTGGCGAGAGGTCGCCCTTTCGCTGCGCGCAATGCCAGCTGCTTGTCTCCAAGATAGCGCACCTGTCATTGGTTCTTCCTTTTAAAAAGTACTTTTTACCCCAAGGACTTCTGTTTCTGCACATATCCCCGAAAATAATTCCAAGCAGGTATGTTTGAGTCCAGTGGAGTCATATGATGCCTCCGGTACATCTAGGGTAGTTGACATTTTGGTAGTTCTAGGGTTAAGAATATGGTTTGAAGCTCTTGGCACTTGGCAGGAGGTGTGCTGGAAATGAAGTTGGGATTGAAAGGCGTGGCGTTGGGGTTAAGTTGAGGTGTTGGTCTTGGTGGACTGATTGGGTAAGCGCATGGGTTAAGCGCATTGTCCGTGTTTAACTGTGACTGAGACTTACGAGCACATGGTGATCTTGCGGCCTAGCAAACTACTGCGTGATGCAATCCTTGCCGCCAGTTGGCCCTGCTCAAGCGCTGCAGTCTCATTGGCCTAGAACAAACGGCTTGCCAACTGCCAGAACAAATGCACTGGGTGGTGTGTCAGGAGACTGGTGACTGGTCTTTCCACAGACTGGTCGGTGTTTGGGAGCTGTGGGTGTAGCACTTGGTGCAGGTACCTCCATGAGCATTTCGGATACCCCAGGATAGGGCTCAATCACCGCTCCATCTGCTGGTGCCCCCGCCTGTGTGTCTACCGCTGAGGTTTCGACTGTTACGTCTGCTGCTATGGCTGGTTGGTCTGTGTTGCCGTGGTTCTTTACCTCGCGCTTGCTTTGTGGCGGAGCTTGGGAGCTGTTTATGACATCAGAGTACGAACGTACAGCCGGCTGTTGCACACTTGCTTGCTCATTATTTGGTGGAGATTCTTCGTTCTCCCGTACTGAACGCTTTCCCTTTGGGCAGTGAGTAGCCAGGTGGCCTGGTGAATCACACAGTGTGTAGGTCTTTGGCTGATCAGTCTACCGTACAGAGAACACGTGACCACCAGGTGTCCTGACGTACGACGGGCTGAACTGTGCATTGCGAGCAAGGTGGAAGCTTACATAGCGTACACCAGATGCCACCTTCAAACCTCGGCGGGTCGTTACGTGCCCATGACGTACTGTACTAGCGGCTTTCCCGTGGGGACCCAAGACTTTCAAAAGTGCCTCGTCTGATATCCGTCAGCTCTGCAGATGATGCTGAAGAACTTGATCTTGTCCTCTTTGATGCGGCATTTGTTTGGTTTCAACTTGAGACCAGAATGTTCGCAGTGAACCATCATCTGCTGCATGTTGAGATCATGGTCCTCGTCTGACGTCCCGTGTGTGACAATGTCGTCTGTGATGCCGGTGACATCTGGGCACCCTTCGAACGTCTGGTCGATCCTTGCTTGGAAGACATCTTGCGACATCTTGAGGCCAAATTGCGCGAAGGAATCTGTAGCGCCTGAATGGTGTGTTGAAGGTGGTGAGGTAACTGGATTCGTCGTCGAGCTCCACATTCCAGTACCCACACTTGACGTCGACGATCGAGAACACTTTTGCATCTCTCAACTTCGGGGTGATCTCCTCAATGGTGGAGACCACATGGTGCTCTCGCAGGATGGCGATCTCTAGAAGAGGACTAGCAAGTCCATGCAGGCAGCGGTACAAATACATCGTTTTGAAGTTGAGGTGTTTCTCAAGGGTGTACAAGTCATCGTATTTCCGCAAATAAATGATC